AGCCACCACCACCACCACCACCACCACCACCGCTGCACAGATGTCCTTCACAGCCGACCGTTAATGACTGCACCGATGGCGACTACACGTACAAGCGTGGCTTTCTCCTCTGGAACGTGGCGCTCATCTCGGCGGACAAGTCGGCGACCATTGATTTTGATCTAGCGGCCAGCGGCCAGCAGCCGAACAATGACGACTACTTTCCCATTAGCTGCACGTTCAATTCTGCACAAAATCTCGCCGGACTGATTGTAAGTGCCCTTTTGCTGCTGCTGCCGTTGCCTCTTTTACACTTTTTCCCTTTTTGAGGCTGCTTTTTTGCTTTTTGCCTGCCTTGCCTTGCCTCTTAGCCTTTCCGTGCTTGCCTTTTCCCCTTTAGAGGGAGAGAGGGAGAGAGGGAAGTTAGAGAAAGAGAGAAATTGCATGGAGACTGCAGTCTTCCAGCTCCACCTCCAGCTCCACCTCCACCTCCAGCTCCTTTCAGTGCCTTTTGGTGTTGCACCTGCTGCTGCTGCTGCTCGGAAGTGTGAAACACTCAAAGTGCCTTTTAATTGAACGTTCACTTCTTCTTTCCTTTCTCCCCCCTTTCCTTTCTTTTTCCACCTTCTCCTTTAGGTCAACGAAGTATTAGACGACGAGGTGGACGACGTCAAGTGGAGTCTAGAGTCAAAGTTGAACGTGGACGCTTACGATATTGTTTAAAGCTGAGCAAAAGGAGAAGGAGGAGGTGGTGGAAAGATGATGAAGTTTTTTCGTGTTTTTTTGGCGGTCGGGCTGATGCTGCTTCTGCTGCTGTCGTCTTCTGCTGCTGCTGGTGATCGGTTGATGAACTTAGTTGGCTGATCATCATCATTTTGATTAGTTCACCAAAAAACTTTTTTCCGCTTCTATGCCCCTATTTGTTTCCCGCCTGTCTGCTTTCATTTCTGTTTGAAGAGCACGCCTTTTTCCGATCAGCCGGCAGCCGAAGTCAGCCGCAGCAGCAGAAGAGGAGAGAACACAGCGATGCCAATTCTTCCAATTTCCGATTTCTCTCTGTTCTTCCTCCCCCTTTTCTTCTTCTTCTTCTTCTCTTGAGACAATGCGTTTCCCTTTGTGTTTCCGAGCTCTAAACTATTTTATAATTACCGCTCTTTATATACTGTTTTAAAAGTCGCCGCCGCTGCCGAGTTGCGAGTTTTTGCAATGTTTTTGAGTTGAGACTTGTATATTGTATATTGATGATGAGATGATTGAGGGAATCGAGAGCAGCAGCAGCAGCAGCAGCAGCAACTCTGCAGACAGCGAAACTGAATATAGATAGATCGACACAGTGGAGCAGAAAGGAAGAAGGAAGAAGGAAAGAATAAAAAATTGACCAGCGGCAGCAGTGAAAAATGTGAGTGCCAAATTCTGGTGGTGCAGACGGACGGACCACCGCCGCTACTGGCACACACACACACTGAAACACAGTAGCAATTCCACCACTTCACACACACACACACACACACACACACTGCAACGGCATCCTCGGATGCGGTCGTGTCGGTCTCAGTCAGTTAATTGTCGGGGGTGAGCGGCGGCAGCAGCAGCAGCAACCGAGCTGATCTGGTTACGACGAATATCGGGCACAGGCACAGCAGCAGTGGTGGTAGCAGCAGAAGTAACTGTGTGTGCATCCGTTCGACCCGTTTTTCCCGCTGACTCTGTCCGCGGTGGCGGCGGCGGGAAGGATCGTGCGCGAAGGAACGAACTAACGGGGAAACTGAAGAGAGAGAAAAGAGAACGGACGAAAGTGAGAGAGAGAGAGAGAGAGTCAGCAGCAGCAGTGGCGCCCAGTCCGTCTGCTGTGCTTTGCTTTGCTTTCCTTGGCGAGTCAGCAGCAGCAGCAGCAGCAGCCACCTCTTCCTCATCTGCGCCAAACAGCCAAACTTTCTCCTACTACTACTGCTGCTGCTGCTGCATCCCAGCAGACTTTCGTCAACTCTCGGTCTTCTTCGTCTAAACTCGCGCACTGCTCTGCTCTTCAGGAATCAGTGCCAGTGATCTTCGTCGCCGTGTTCATCTTCATCTCCACCACCACCACCACCACCTCTTCTGCCACCGAACTGTCTGCTATTTCTTCAACACAGCAGTGAACAGAGGATGGCAGTGAAGCAGCAGCAGCAGCAGCACCGGTGACCACCACCACCAGCAGCAGCAGCAGCAGCAGCGAGAACCGAAAATAGAAGCCTGCCAGAATAAGAAGTGTGTCAACGTTGCTGTTGGAGGAAGAATCAGCAGGCAGAAAACACACAATTCTCCACATCTGCTTACACGCGATTGTTCTCTTTTCTCCTCCTCCTCCTCCTCCTTCGATCTGATCCGAATTGTTGTGGTGGTCTTTACCTTCTTCTACCTTCTTCTTGTTCTGGTCTTTTACAACCTCCTCTTCGACTCATCTTCACTACCACCACCAGCAACAGCAGCTTCAACTTCTCTTCTAAATAGCAGCACTTCTCATCACCACACAGCATTCAGCAAAAGTTTAAGGCCTTTTTTAAAAGAAAAGTTCAACTGTTTTCTCTCTCAAGTTTTAAAAGGCACTGCACTTTCACTTTCACATTGTTCACACTCTGCTGCCCCAGCATCAGCAGCAGCAGCAGCTGTCCGTCTGCAGTAGGAGCAATGTAGCCGCAATTTGAATGGCTAACCTTGAATGCAGAGGCATCATCATCATCAGCAGCAGCAGCAGCCGTTCTTCTGGTCGTCTGTCTGTTTATACAATTGGCCAACGTTTGCTTGGCTGATGGTTGATAGGCTTTTTTTGTTGCTGTTGCCAAATTACCACCATCACCATCAACATCACCATCACCATCACCACCACAACCAAAGACTTGGACGCACCTATTCGCTCATTCATCGCATCAACACTCTTTCTTTTTTAAAAAAACTCGACAGAACCGCTACCAAAAGAAATTATCACTTCGCATCCTAGATGACCGTAGACACCTCTAATAAGATGGGGTAAGTGCGCTGTTGTTTTGTTCTAGTCTCCTAATTTAACTCCTTTCCTTTAACTCTTTTAATTCAGCGAGACGCCCATTTTCAGCACCAAGGCGCACGTTTTTCACATTGACCCGCAGACGAAGCGGTCCTGGATCTCCGCCAGCAATGCAGCCGTCAATGTCAACTTTTACTATGACATGGCACGGAACCTCTACCGCATCATCAGCGTCGAGGGCCAGAAGGTAGCAATGTTGGGTGGCTTAGATGGTCTAACTGAAACGATTTTATTTTATTCCCTGTTTAGGCGGTCATCAACAGCATCATCACGCCGAATATGACCTTCACGAAGACCTCGCAGAAGTTTGGCCAGTGGTCGGACATTCGCGCCAACACCGTCTACGGGCTGGGCTTCTCCTCGGAGCCGGAGCTGAACAAGGCATGTCCTGAAATCGATGGAAAAGTTCTGCTTTTTTAACCAATGAACTTTCCCCTTTTTTTCTGCAGTTTATTGAAAAGTTCCAGGAGGTAAAGGAAGCGACGCGAAGCACTCAGAGCAAGGCGAGCACTCTGCAGCACAATGGAGGAGGAGGAGGTGGTGGCCAACATCACCACCACCAGCTTCACCAGCAGCAGCACCTGTCAGGCAGCAGTTCGGTGATGTCGGCGAGGGACTCACCGAGGCTCTCCTCGGAGATGGCCAATGATATACTACTAACGGGTACGGAGGCAAACATGACCTTTCAACTTTGGACTTTTGTTATCATCACCTTCCTTCCTTCCTTTCTTCCTTCCTTCCTCCCTCCCCCATCTTCACCAGGATCTCTGCTACCTCACCAGCGCAGTCAGAGTCTGTCAGGGCTGCAGGCGACGAAGCACCTGACGGACAGTCCAAAGTACGGCGGCACTGGAACCGGCGGCGGCGGCGGCTCGACGAAGGAGGTGAAGCAGCAGCACGCCGCCGTCTCTTCCATTCTTCTGCCGCAGTCCTCGACGGAGGCGCAGCTACGCTACGAAAATGACCGCCTCAAGCTGGCACTTGCTCAAAGGTCAGTGATAGTTTTAGTAGGTTTTTTACATCAACAGATTTCCTCTCTTTTAATAGCTCAACAAACGCCAAAAAGTGGGAGATTGAACTGCAGACGCTGAAGAGCAACAACACCCGGCTGACGAACGCCCTCCAGGAGTCGACGGCCAACGTCGAGGAGTGGAAGCGACAGCTGCAGGCGCTCAAGGACGAGAACACCAAGATGAAGCACAAGGTAGACTTAGAGGAGAACTGTTTTAGGAAACGCCCAAATCTAACTTAACAACAAACTGTCCTTCTAAATTGCGTAGATCGTCGAGCTGGAGGCGATTCAGGGGAACCCGGAGGCGATCGCCGAACTGCGCAAGGAGATCGCCCACATGCGAGCCAATTGTGAGACCTTAGAGAGCGACCTTAAGCACAGAGACGGTGAGGTGGAGCGGCTGAGGAAGCGCCTCGAGGAGCAGTGCCAGCAGGCCTTTGCCTCCTCCAAGGTGGACGACAAAATACAAGTACAGTCTTACCACAGTGGATGCTACTGACACACCATCACCACTACCACTAGATGATGAGAGATGCAAATTCTACACTACTTCTTTTTCTACTAACTGCTTACTGACTAACTGACTAACTGACTGTTCTGACCTGCTCTGATTGCTACTAATCTTTCCACTAGCCTCTACTTTACACCCCTATTCTATTACTACCTAGCTTTTTACCGTTCTTTTCTGTGTCACGCTGGAAGAGAGCACTTACACTTTCTGTTTTTTTCCCAATCCACCAGGCTTTACTGAACGACAATGAAGGCCTTCGTCTGCAGCTCAGTCGACTGAGCGGGGGTGACCACCTCCTCAACAACAACAACTTTAGCATGGGTGACCACCACCAGGGGTCTTCGTCAACGAGGAGCATCTTTGAGCAGCTCAATCACCGCTTTGCGCAGAACATTGCCGACTTGAGATTGCTTCACGCCGAGTACCAGGAGTGCTCGACATTGCTCAACGCCTGAGGAGAAGTGTGGTGTTTATATGGTGGGGAAAATTCAGTTGGTAGTTCTCTTCAGTAGTGGAAGGTCATCATCGCCATTCTCACTGTCATCATCATCATCATCGTCATCTCATCCGCTGTTATCATTGCTGTTACTGTTTCTATTTCCTGCTCTCTTCTATTATTTCTTCATTTCATTTCGTTTTCTTTTGTTTCTTTTGTTCTTCTGGTGTAGTTGTTGTTTTCTTTTAGTTTTTTCGTTTTTAATTATCGCTACACCTTCATCACCGCCACCACTACCATCATCACCATCACCATCATCATCAACAACAATAAGAAAGCACTGCGATTCCACGAACCTTCTTCACTTTTGGCCCCTTCTACTTCTTCTTCTTCTGAACAAATGCTCCCTGCTTCTTTCCTTTGCTCTAGGAACACACCCACACACCCACTTTTCTCTTCTTCTTCTTTTCTCTCTTCCGCTTCCACTTTCATTCCCACTGAGAAAACAAGTACAAACACACACATACACCAAATCACCACCACCACCAAATGCTTCTCCATTCTCTCAGCCACTGGTCATCACGATACTACCGTTATGATTCTTCTTTTTTCATCTGCCGGTGATAATGGTAGTGGTGGCGGTGGTGATGGTGTCCATCAAGTCAACACAAATACTCTCTTTCAAATGTTGTTCACTTTTGTTCTCTTTTTTTCTTTTCTCATTGATCGTTAGTTGACGTTGTTGTATTTATTATAAACTGAAATTAGTAAACCAAATGAAATAAAAGACTTGTATGATACGATGAAGAGGACCTGTCATTGACATATCACACGATGACCCGAGAAGACACACAAAGTGTACACACTAAAAGTGGTTTTTATTATTAGAGCATTAGAGGGTGAGTGAGAAAGCATTTACGGTTATCAGTTGAAGAAAAAGAAAAAGTAGATAGAGACAACAGAGAAGAAAGCGGGCGTAGCAGAGCAGTCAACTTCTACTACTACCAAGTCTTCTACTACGACTATCAAGGCACACTGACGCACTAACGTAGTGCAGAGAGTGAGTAAAAAGAGGGGGGGGGGGCAAAAATGATCATCATCTTTGCCCGAGTATAAATAATTGTAAAGCAGGAAAAATAATCAAGGTCGGATCGGTGGTGGTGAAGGAGGAGGCGAAGGAGGTGGTTGTAGTGATGCTCAGTAGGACGAACTGCAGGCGGTGAGCGCCCCTCGCCGCTTCGCCTGGTCAATGAAGTAGGTCATCTCGGTGTAGTCGGCGTCGTTGAGCAGCTTCAGCACCGAGTTGCCGTCCACCAGCCACCGACTGTCCCGGCCGGGGTTGTGCATCACAATCACCCGCTGAGAGCGCTTCGCCTTGAAGGGAGCCACATAGAGGTTGCACTCGGTGTTGAAGTAGAGCACCACGGTGGAGTTGTTGCCCCCCTCTGCAAACAAAATGGTTAGTGTAAGTAGGTAACAGCAACAAACGGAATACTCCCCAAATCTCCCCAACTCTCTCTCACTTACCGGCAGGCTTAATGTCGCCCGAGGTGATATTTCCCCGCTCCTCGTCCACCTTCACCGTCATGACGGGCACCTCGTAGGAGGGCCCGGTGACGTTGGTCCGCTCGCTGGTGATCGACACGATGGTGCCGATGATGATGTGCGTGTGCTGACAGAAGAGGTACTCCATGTCGCGGTAGTCGCGGTTGCTCCGCAGTATCGTGTCCACCACGCTGCTGCCCGGACAGCGGAGGTTGGTCACGCAGCGGCACTTCTCCGCCTCATTCTGATTGCGGTCGCACTTCAGCGCAATGTAGTCCGTCTGGCGGACGTTGGTGTAGAGCCGGGAGCAGACCATTTCTAGGAAAGGAAGGGATATTAAGTAGGAGAATTAGGAAGGACTAATGAGCCACCACTACCAGCACCACCTACCCTGTTCGTAGTAGTTGTACATTCGCACCAGCGCCGACTGCGTCTTCTCCACCCGGTGCTGCTGGTAGACGCGAAAGGCAACGCACTGGTTGAAGTTGCTGGGCACCTCGCGAAAGTAGAAGATCACCTTGCTGGGGCTGACGTCGTAGTGGGCGATGTAGCCGTGGAAAGCGGCCGAGCTGTCGCTGAAGATCGCCTCCAGGTCGGTCTGCACCGGGCGGAAGCCGCTGAGGATGCTCACCTCGAGGATGGCCATGTCGGAGGAGTAGCTGCTGCTGGCGAGGTAGTACCGCGTGCAGATGTTCAGCACCAGGACGATGGGGTGCTCCAGCTCGGTGGAGAGCTGCGGCAGCGGCGCAAAGGACTTCCTCTGAACGGGGCCCGGGACGTGCTTGCTCGCCGAAGACGGCTGCTGCCGCCTGGCCGGCTTCTTTTTACTGCGCTCAGAAGCGGAGCGCTTCGAGGTGCCCACTGAGGAGAAGGCCGACTGACCACCTCCACCTTGCTGTCTCCTCTCCTCCTCGGCGCGCAGCCTGTCCGCCACCGCCTTCCAGCTGCTCGGCTTTCGGCGGAGGTTGGTGAAGTAGGCCGTGGGAAAGATGGACCGCTTGCTCACCAGCCGCGTGTCCTGGCAGCAGTTGACCACGGCGCTGATGTTCGCCCCCCGACCACCAGTGGTAGGCAGGTCCACCAGCTGACGACCCTTGTTGCCGGCGCCCCCGCCGCCTGTCGCCACCTCATCAGCGACGCCCAGCTCGTACAGCATCTCCGCCTTCTTCTGGGGCGTATCGCGAAAGAAGCTCTCGGCGTCAAACTCATTTTGGTTGACGTGAGAGTTGGCGCCGCCACTGCCGGCGCCATCACCGGAGCCGCCGCCGCCCTCCTCGTCGCGCCACTCGTAGACGTCCACGTTGAGGTCGAAGCGGCAGCTGCCGTTGGGCGCGTACTCATTGTAGATGATGAGCAGATTGAGCTTGCCCAGTCCGGTGCCGGTCGTCTTCAGGTCAATCTCCCGCGTGTCGCTGTCCACCTGCAGCGTCTGCAGGAGGTCGGCGTTGGCGTTGTGAAAGAGCAGCGACCGCTTCAGGCGGTGGTTGAAGCTGACGTCCGTCTGCAGCTCGTGGTGCAGTCTCTTCCGCTGCTGCTGCTGCTGATCTCCTCCTTCCCCTCCGCCGCCGCCTCTTCCCGTCCGATCGACCTCGTCGGCGTCGTACCGCTTCGCGTAGAGGACGTAGTACTTGGCGAGGGCGTCCAGCGCCACAATGGTGTCCTGGGTGTTGTCGAAGGTGCCCCGCTTCTGCTGGCCATTGAGCCAGTTGACGATGCTCAGGTAGGAGAGAATGTCCACCGGCTGGGCCGCCTGCGGATCGGAGAGGTCGGGCGCGATGAAGGCCATCAGCGCGTAGGCGGCCGTCTCCACCGGCCACTGGGCGTCCGCCCACCACTGCTGGTTGCGGCGCCAGTCGATGGTGGAGCCGGCGGCGAGGCTCTCCGTCAGCTCGTGCCGCAGCTTTGCCGCCTTCGGCGAGGCGCTAAAGGTCAGCGCGTAGGCGACCAGCGCCTGGCGGTACCGCAGGCTGTCCGCGGAGGAGGAGGAGGACTTTTTGCCGTCAATTTTGGCGGTGTAGCGCGCCACCAGGTACCTCTCCGCCATCTCGATGGTCCGCGTGAGGTTCAGCGTGGCGGTAGTGGAGGGCGAACTGGTCTTCTGCTCACCACCAGAAGCAAACTCCGCAAAGCGGCTCATATAGGGGCGACACTCGTGAAAGACAATCATCAGGTAGGCGGTGAGGCCGTAGGCGCCCTCGGCGCCGCCCAGCGCCTTCTCATGCAGCAGCGGGTACTCCTCCTTCCAGGCACCGTTTGCCTGCTGCCGATCGGCGAGCCACCGCAGCGCCGTCTCCACGACGCGCTCATCCAGCTGACTCTCCAGGTAGGGCTCCGCCTGGCAGACGATCTTCGCCACAAAGCCGGTCAGCCAGACGGAGGAGGCGCGCTTGCTGAAAGCGGCATAGGAGCCGTCTGCCTTGCGAAAGTCGAGCTGCTGCTGGAGCGCCCGCTGCAGGTAGGCCACCCCCCGCCGCTTGGTCCGCTCCGTCAGGCGGCCAATCTGCTCGAGGTAGCGGAGCGAGTAGAGGTTGAAGGCCATGTAGTACATGTTCTGCTCGCCGCAGCCCTTCGGCTTGCGAATCAGCGCACTGAGCTCCTCGATGCTGCCCAGCTGGGGGGTGAAGCGCTCGCCGACGGCCGTCACCACGTAGTGCAGCGTCTTCGGGACGACGTTCGCCTGCGTGGTGACCCAGTCGCCGCCGCCGCCATGACCACCATTCGTTGGCCGCAGCTTCACCTTCGTCTGCTGCGAGCTGTTGGTGGTGACGTCGGTGTAGAAGTCGCCCTCGACCCGCGTCTCCCGCTTCGCCCGGTTCAGCGGGTCCAGGTCGAAGGTGAGCTGCTGCTCGCGCTCGATGCCCGGCGCGAGGACGGTCAGCCGGCGGACGACGGTGTCGGTGTAGTCCACTGACTTCGCCTCGATGCGAATCTCATGCGTCCCCTTGTAGATGGGCACAATGGAGAAGGCGGTCCGCTCGGAGCTGCTCGGGTTGACCTGGACGTTGCG